CACGATGACGTGTTCGTCCACAACAAGTGACGGTGACTCTCGCTCGTCTCGACTCCTCAGTACACCGGAGCTCTGACCTACGACGGCGTGAGTGCCATGGCGACGGCTTTCCACAACCTGCGACGGCAGCGGATCGACATCTCTCGCCGCGGCAACGCAGGGGAGTGTCTAGCCAACCCCCCCGCTCCCTGGGGACAGGGCATTGACATCCAGAGGGCCCTGCAACAGGTACACAACTACACACATGTACACAATACACAACACACACGATGGCCATTAAATCTGTTAACACGTGTACATCCTGTGGTTTGTGCGATGAATGTCAAGAAGATTTCAGAACAAGACACAACAACAACACTAAATATATTTTTAGGGTTTTGTTTTCCCACATTCATTAATGATTCTCATTGTGGTTCTATTTCCCGTTCAGACGGTTTTATCTCACACAGGCTGTAGCTTCTCACAGACTGACCCAGATCAGTCAGTTTCACTCTCAGAACATCCATCAGCTCTGGGATGTCATGGCATCTCTTTCCGTTCCTCCAGCTGAGGCCAACATGCAGTAAAATATGCTTTGAGACTTTCTGGCTCCTCAAGTTGAAAGTTTGGAAAAGTAGCTGCTCGTCTGTAGCAGCAAGTCGAGACGTTTGAGTTTCTCTCCTCAGCCACAGAACTTCTCTTCTCTTGGGACGACGTGGACGCGTCTTTGTCCTGAGTGGGATAATGTTCCCGTTTAAGATTTCAAACTCAACAGCACCACCATGAGGTCAAACTGCAACACACGACATTAATAAGCATCATCAGAAAGTCGATAAATAAAAACAGATTTTTGTCATTTTGGCGACAGAGTTTCAGGAGCAGCAGTGGAAGTATGAATAGATGAAGAATGACAGAATCTGAATCTGTATCGGCAGGTGCGTCTCGAAGGTCTGACGGGTCACGTTCAGTTTGACGAGCGAGGACATCGGACCAACTACACTGTGACTGTGATGGAGCTCAGCCACAAAGGAGCCACGAAGGTGCTGCGGCTGTTTTTCTTTTGTTAAATGGTTTTAATTCCAACAGACGTTTGGTGCTTTTCACCGCATCAGCTCATTTCACTAATTAGCTCCCTCTTCTCCGATTAAAGGTGCGATGATCAGTTAGATCAGCTGCTGCAGCACTTGTTTGGTTCAGAAAGCTGCAGACTCGCAGGATTCTGTTCACCTCCATCACACACGGTTACACCATGAGCTGTGATGACATCGTTACACACACATTTTGAAACACTGACAGTGGCTTTGTGAAGATTTTCCTGAATCTCATGAAGTTTATTTTCCATAATTTGACACAGTGATGACTTCACAGTTTGTATTAAGTCCAGTCAGCAGCTTTCAGAGACAACACGACCCCACAGAACCGAGCTTCACATTAATGAGCATTAAGTAGCTGCAGGTGTGAACAGAGACATGAAGAGAGACTACACCTCTGTCCACTCGTTTAACGATGGGGGGAGGTGGTGAAGAGATAACAGCTGTGATGTAACAGTGCTGTCGTGCGTTCAGATCGGCTACTGGAACGAGAGGAGGGGCTACGTGAACACGGCCGTCTACAGGCCGGTGCTGGAGGAGGTCCACGGTCTGCAGAACAGAACCTACGTCGTCACCACCATCCTGGTAAGACGCCTGCTGCTCATCCTGCTGCCGTGTGGTTAGAGTGTTGGGTCGGAATGGTCGTTTGAAAAACAGCCATGAGACATATTGTTAGAAATGTTTATTGTTGCTGAGGACATTTGTATTAACGAGACATTTCTCAGTATTGGAACTTTTCATGAAGTTGTTTAAAATCGTCTTCATATTTTTAAACCTTTGATGCTGCGTTTACTTTAGTCGCCTCTTGGCGGCGTCATATCCTCTTCATGCATGTGTCAGTGTTTATCCAGTCTGAGGTCACATATTCTCTTTTTAACTCTTCGTGGTTGAAGAAGGATTTTAGTCGTCGGACGTCTGGATCTTAAGTTTTTGTGAGTCGTCCTGTGTCGGCGACAGCGTCAGAAACTTTACTCAAAGCTCCTAAAAACCTCCTGAACCATTGAAACCGACAGAATCCTGAAGTCAAACCAAAATGATTTGACTTAAACCTGCTTCAGGTTTGTAGTTGTGCATAAGAGAAAAGAATAAATTCAAACTCAAGTGAACTCATGAAAGCAGCAAAACAAGGTCAGCAGCAAATTCAAAGATAAATAAAGAGACAAATGAAACGTCCTCAACGTCTGTCTCCGAACAGGAAGCTCCCTACATGATGCTGAAGAAGAACCACGAGCAGTTAGTAGGAAATGACAAGTACGAAGGTTACTGTGCCGAACTGGCCTCGGAGATCGCCAAACACGTCGGCTTCGCCTACCGCCTCGAACTGGTGGGTGACGGCAAGTACGGCGCCAGAGACAGTGCGACAAAGATGTGGAACGGCATGGTGGGAGAACTGGTGTACGGGGTGAGTGTCGGACACCACGTTTTTTGCTGTACGAGGTTTTGTTGAGCAGATAAAAAAAACAAAAAACATTCACAGTGAAAATTCTCTGTTCATGTTTCTGCCCCCCCCCCCCCCCCCCCCCCCCCCCCGCAGAAAGCCGACGTGGCGGTCGCCCCGCTCACCATCACTCTGGTGCGAGAGCAGGTGATCGACTTCACCAAACCCTTCATGTCTCTGGGAATCTCCATCATGATCAAGAAACCCACCAAGTCCAAACCAGGCGTCTTCTCCTTCCTCGACCCGCTGGCCTACGAGATCTGGATGTGCATCGTCTTCGCCTACATCGGCGTCAGCGTCGTGCTCTTCCTGGTGAGGAGGGGCGGGGCCGGCGTGGTTACGCAGCTAATATGAAATAGGCCGTAATTAATGACCTGGTTGTAAAGTTACATGAAGTTTATCACGTTAGTTAACGAGTAGAGTCATTAAATCACATCTTCTCTTTCACAAGCATCAGTTTTCTGATAAAACAATTAATTATATTTTATTATGATGAAGGAAATTTAGACATAATAAGAAACAAGTACTGAGGAATGCATGCAACACTTTTACTTGTCACAGAGTATTTTTACTTAAGTGGAGGAACTGACATTTGGTTGTGTTTATTAAAAGGATCAACTCTCCTCCACAGTTCTTCATTTATTCAAACACACTCATGAAACTGGACAGAAAATTTAATTTAGTTTAAAAAAACCCAAAAGAAAAGTGTCTTGTGAACCATGGTCTCAGATTGTGTCCTCGTATGACGACGTCTTTGTTTCTAAGGTGAGTCGGTTCAGTCCTTACGAATGGGAGGGGGAGGACTCTGATGACGAGGATGAAACCGTCCCCTCCTCCACGTCTCAACGAGCTCAGCCGACGTCGTCCTCCGAACTCGCTCACTCTTCAGGTACCTCATCATTGTTGAGGTGTTTACCTCGCTGCTGCCCGGTCAGTCCTTCATCACATGGCTCTGTTTTGTCAGGGTTCCCTCAGGCTCAGAACCAGAACCAGCAGAAAGAGAAGGAGACGCCTGAACACACCAACGACTTTGGGATCTTTAACTCTCTGTGGTTCTCTCTCGGGGCCTTCATGCAGCAGGGCTGTGACATCTCTCCCAGGTAAGACACTCACATTTTTAATCCTCAGTCTATCATCACAACTCTTTTTCTCAACTTTGAACACTCTTATTCCTAAAACACAATATTCCTGCTCAGCTGTTTTCATGGTTGAAGACAGAGACGCTCTCATGTCTTGTGTATGGACCTCAGCCTCACAAACTGTTGTCTGAGTCGACGAGTAGAAGAAGACGACTGTGGGAAACTCAGCAGATTCAAATAAGCAGGAATTATTCTTTAAAACAAAACACAAACACTGTGTGTGTGTGTGTGTGTGTGTCTTCCAGTCTGACCCACAGATCTGTTTCGTCTCCAGGTCTCTCTCAGGTCGGATCGTTGGAGGCGTCTGGTGGTTTTTCACCCTCATCATCATCTCCTCTTACACGGCCAACCTGGCAGCCTTCCTCACCGTAGAGAGGATGGTCTCCCCCATAGAGGGTTCAGAGGACCTGGCCAAGCAGACAGAGATCTCCTATGGGACCCTGGACGGAGGCTCCACCAAAGAGTTCTTTATGGTGAGGACGTCTTTCTAAATTCACAATAACGATTGAAGCCTCAACTATTTCTGAACTGTGCTAAACCATCAGAGTTTGTAACGTGCAAACTACACGTGAACAACAAGTTGACAACAAGATATGTAACGAAACATCGGAGCTGTCCTGTAATAAACTTAAACTACCTTTATTTATCCCACAAGGGGAAATTCTTTTACACTAATTTTACAGAAGTGTTATGGATTAATGTAAATTAATGTTGTTATGTAAAGTTAATGGAGAAGTGTACGTCAACAAGCTATAGCTAAACCTCGTTATCCTCTTTTTCTGTTTCATTAGAGGTCAAAGATCGCCGTTTTTGAGAAGATGTGGTCGTACATGCGGAGCGCAGACCCGTCAGTGTTCGTCAGGAACACAGACGAAGGTGTGTTGCGGGTCCGGAAGTCGAAGGGGAAGTACGCCTACCTGCTGGAGTCCTCCATGAATGAGTACATCGAGCAGAGGAAGCCCTGCGACACCATGAAAGTGGGAGGAAACCTGGACTCTAAAGGCTATGGAGTGGCCACGCCCAAAGGATCGGCCCTCAGGTACACTCTGAATATCTGGACAGTCAGTGTGACGCTGGTGTCTCGTGTTGTCTTTTGTGGGAAATTAGAAGAATAGCAAATGTGCAAATATACTGATTCATGTTATCAGCACATGTTAAATTATTGAACTCTAAATCTGATCTGTGACCACGCGTCGACAGTCAGTTGCGTAGCACGAACTCGTCACACGTCAGAACGTGATGTCACGTTTCTTCCCTGAGACTCGAGAAACAGTGACTTGGTCTCATCTCCGATATCTGAGACTGTAAATAAAGATGAACGAAATAACAGCTTGTCTGCAGTTAAGTCAAATCATCTGGATCGCCCCCTGGTGTCTGGCTGCAGTATCGGTCATAAACCTCCTCCATGTTAGAAGACGGGACATGAACCAAACTAAAAAATCAAAGTAGATAAATGTTTCTGTCGTTTCTGATCAGTTTGGTTTAATTCGTTATTGATGATATAGAAACAGGCGGAGACGTCATGATTGACAGCTGAGTCTGACTCAAGGATTGGGTGGGACGTCGATACCACAGCTCCACCCCACGATCTTTACAGACTCTGACTGCAAATTACTCCATCACCACAAGATGGCAGCGTTCATATCCGAGATATTTCAGCTTCGTCCATCTTTATCTACAGTTTCTGTCAACATGGAAACGTAGAATAAAATAAAGGGTCCAGGTCGACCTCAGTCCTCAGCAGCTGGTTTTATCCAGAAGCAGATTCATGTTGGTTAAACGATGAATTGTGAACATCACTAATCTGTAAACGTGATAAAAACTAACCCGACCATGATGGACTGTCTGTGTGTTAGTCTGTCTGTCTGTCTCTCTGTCTGTCTGATTGTCAGTCTCTTAATCTGTCTCTCTGTCTGTCTTGTCTATCTCTCTCTTCTGTTTGTCTTTGTCAGTATGTGTCTGTCTGCCTGTTCCTGCCCTGTCGGCCTGTTTACCTGTCTGTTGTCATCTGTTACTGCCCGTCTGTCTGTCTGTCTGTCTGTCTGTCAGTCTGTCTGTCTGCCTGTCTGTCTGTCTGTCTGTCTGTCTGTCTGTCTGTCTGTCTGTCTGTCTGCCTGTCTGTCTGCCTCTACCATCACCACAACACTGAAGACACACATCGATATGAACCATGCTGTTGTCAGGTGAAACAAAAACCAAGATTTTAATGAGCCTCATCACAAAGTTAGTTCATCTTTATTTCATGGAAAAGCAATTTGGTTCTGATACGAACAACGATAATTATTCAGCAGAACTATAAACGTTTTCTCTGAGCAGTGATGAAATCTGCTCGTTCAACCAACTGCAACATTAAAGTTTCATCAGTTTCTTTTTTCCTTCTGTTGTTGTGTTGTTTTATAAAAGTCAAGTTAACGAAGTGATTCAGTTTGATTTGTATCAAGTTAGTTTATGTGCAAATATTAGATTGAATTGTTGGTTTAAGATGAATGAGAATCTCCGGTTAGTTCACAGTGAAAACACTTTGTTGGACAGTTTGGACTTTTGGACCAATCACAGGAAGTAGAGACACATTAAACCATAGAAGAAGAAGAAGCAGCTGCAGTCCTACCCCCCCCCCTCGTCTACAAACCAATCAGAGTCAAGTATAGGTAGACTAAAAATATAAAAATAAAAATATATATTTAAATTACAAAGAGAAACTAAAACTAACAGATGAGATGAAACATGAACAAACATGAAGCTTCAGACTCAGAGAGGAAACGTCCCGAGTCAATAATGTGTTAACAAACAGTGTTTAGAGAAACTCTACTTCTGAACTGGACACTTAACTTCCTGTCGTAGATGTTGACCGAACACCAAACAAAACCAAAAACCTGACTTCAGCTCAAACTCCGAAACCTTCACCTGACAGCAGCATAGATTTCCTCCAGCGTTCATGTGTGTATCAGATGTTCTGTGAGAGAACATCTTGCTCTCATTCTTTCTGCCGAACATCAGCATTTTACAGCCGACCCAGACTCAGAGAGGAAATGACTTCAGAGATGAGATCAGCACACGCTGAACGTATGTTCCTGTGTTTTCATCATTTCATCGCAGTAAAAACGTGTTGCTGAGACGGCAAATTAAAGCCGAGCAAACTGACTTTCCACATCCGCAGAAAAATGGTTTTACATTTGTGTAAAGCAAATGAACGAACTGTGACATGAACTGATAATATTGAAAAAAGCCGAGCGGTTTCTTCTGCTGTTTCCAGACACTTGAACACTGAGGTTCTTATGTAATCACTTTAATATTCACTTACAAATTGCAGCTTGTGAGTCGTCCTCTGTCTCTGGGTCGAGCGTCTCTCTGCGCTAACGTCTGACAGTCGTCTGCTCCGTGTCATCATTTCCTCTGAACACTCTCATTAAGCTGCATCTGCTTTATTCTCATGTTGCTGTGGTAAAACGTGCGATGACTGTGCTTCTGTTGGAGCGTTGTTCTCAAATGTCACAATTCATGTCTTTTTTATGTTTTAAAAATCAGTTTGAACTCTTCTGGTCCAGATAAAATAATCGTATCTTCCGTTAATAAGAGTTATTTTTATTTATATCATCTAATATAACATCCTCTCAATTCATCGTCTTTAAACTCAAATACAAACATTCATTCAAACAGATAAGTTGGATTCACGTGATTTTAATTTGTTCATATTTTAACTGGACTGTTTTTATTCTCCTCGTCTTGATTTCTGACTGTTTCTATGTAAAATTCACTTTAGAACAAAAACTCTTCTGTTGCTAATATGATGTTAATCGTGTTATCGTCTCTTCAAACTGAAGCACCAGCGGCTGAGTCACTTTAATGATTCGTGTTGTTTTTATCAGCATTAAATCATCACTGCTTCCTCTGCTGCCTCCGTCATCTCTGGTATGTAAAGGAGAACAACAGGCAGCTTTTGGTGATTCTTTGTGAAATACAGGACGCCACAAAATTCACATTTGTTCATCAACAATTGTTTTAACTTGAGTTATTTGATATTTCACATTGTGAGAATCTACAAGTATGAATGTTGTTTCTCCTTTATTTATCAGGTAATAAATGAGCATGAATAAGAAGACGTCAATTCTGGGATTCATTTACGGTTTTTCAGTCCAGACGGTTATAAAATGTTTTTTTCCTTCACGACTTACAGACGTCTTCGTTTTTAATATCCAACCTTCGCCAGGAGCTTATCACTGGGCTCAACACAAGCTTCATCCAATCATTAAAAACTCACAACAACAAGGAGTTTCCATTCACTTCTCCCAGTGAATCTCAGAGTCACTGCACAACTCTTAAAGTCTCGACAGCGTCCACAGATTCTGCTGTTTGTGAGATCTTTACAAGCAGCTAATTACAACTTCTGGTTATTTCTGACCAGCCTCTAGTGGCTGTGGTAATAATGACCACGTGAACCAACATCCTCAAACCTCAACAACGTACTTAAAGTATTTTAAACTTTGAAGAAGAAATCAGATTTATCTCCTTTAATAACAAGGTGATAGAAGAATCCTTCAGACTGACGCTCTGTGGAAGTGACACACAAACATTTTAAAGACGTCTGTGTTGAAGAGCAGTAAATCTTTCCCTCAGTGAATTCATGTTACAGTTTCACCAGTCTGCCTGTCGTCACACATGTAATGATGTTGCTATTTCTCGATGGCGGTCCTCTGCTCATTAACACTTAGTTCCCTTTTATCCCTTATTGTGATTATCATCCTCGTAGAAACCCTGTTAACTTGGCAGTGTTAAAACTGAACGAGCAGGGCCTGTTGGACAAATTGAAAAACAGATGGTGGTATGACAAGGGAGAGTGCGGCACCGGGGGAGGGGACTCCAAGGTCAGATCACCGTAACCCCAACAGCTAACGACAACGGCAATGGCACACCAGGGTAACCGGCAACAACTCGCAACTTGACTATCAAGCATTGAACACTCCGGGTGACGCCACTGAAAGTTAGAATAAATCCGTGGTGTCGTTCACAGTATTTGGTCCTCGGTCTGATCCAGGAAGTATTTTACAAAACATCTTCTGCCAACGTTAAAGAAATGTTCAACAAGCAAACGGACGGGGGTGAAATCGTAACCTCCTGGGTCAAGTTACCGCTGAAGTTTTTCTTTGCTGATGAACATTTGCTCCAAAACATAAAAAGCATCGCTCCTTCCAGCAGGAAACAGTTGATAAGACTTTTGGTTTTCAGACATCGGACTGTTCCTGCATGAGTCCGATTCTTCTAAAGATGCCGGAGTGTTTTCAGCTCTTGCCGGTTACCCAAAGTGATATAGTAATACACATCTCGCACACAGGGAGTCAGGCTAAACCAAGCTAGATGGAGTATTAACGCATATCACTTTGATGCTGACATTTGTTTCTAGAACAGTTTTATTTGTGAGATTGTGTCTGTTCTTTCTGTTTCTTTTCTTTTCTGTCGCTGTTATTGAGATGTTCTCTGTAGCGTGTCACAGCTTCTGTTCAGCTAATGCTACTGTTGCTAATGCTACTGCTGCCGCAGCGCTGTCGCTGTGCAGCTGAACAATAACATAAGATAACATGGAGGTGCATAATGTTATTTATGTTATTCCCACCCCACCCCCCTCCCTTCCTCCCATGGTTCTGTGAAGAATCCCAGTAAACCTAGCCGTACTGAAGCTCAATGAACAAGCCGTCTTAGACAAGTTGAAAAACAAGTGGTGGTATGACAAGGGGGAGTGTGGACACAAGGACTCCGGCAGAAAGGTCAGTTGTTGAGGTCGCTCTGGCCTGGTCCCACGCTCATGTGTTGGTTAACCCCCCCCACCCCCCACCCCCCTGTCCCCTGACACGAACCAAACACCCCAGAACTCAGCGGGTTCACTCTGAAAAGAAAAAGGTTTTTCACGTTGTCATTATTTCTTCAAGTATCGAAGCTGTTTTAGTTTTTTAACAAAGAATCTGATGCTAATTGACATTTTTGATCCAGTTCTTTTTTCTTTTCATTGACTTTTAATCTGTTAACGTTCAAATTGAATAACAACAAGTCGTCACCTGGATGTAACTCGTCAGCATATGAATCCTATCTAAAGCTTATTGATTAGCATGTTATATATTTGTTTGTAGATAAAACAAAGTCCATCAGTGAGCATTAGAGGTTTTATGTTACCTGTGGATTGAGCTAAGCTAACTATAACGTAGTTCTACTTGTGCTAAGCTAAGCTAAGCTACCCAGCCGCTGGTCCTAGAAGTGTGCTTCTGTTTCTATTCCTGAAAAAACAAAATGTCAACTTTGAAATAGATTCAGTTGCTGCGAGCACAAAAATCCACCTTTGCATTTACAGAGAATTTATATTTTAGTTGTCATGAAAAACCTTTTTGTTTTTAAAGTGTAACTCTGCTCAGCTGATCTTTCTGAAGCGCAGGAGGAAAAACAAAGGACAAGATGATCGTGTGTAAATACGTTTAGAATAAAGACGGGACAGAAAAACCTTGTGACTCCAGTTTGTACTCTGCCTTTTGCATTCAGAGTTTATTTTCTGGACTTAGTTTCCACTGAGCTGGACTTCAGCCGACTCTGACGAAGCAGACGTTTTGGAGATAAGAGCTTTTTCATGTCTTCAGATCAGTAGAAATCCAGCAGATTTATTCTGAGGCTTTTCTCTGCTCAGCTTTCCTTCTGTTCTCCAGAAAATCCTCCGGTCAGCACAGTCCCTGAAGCAGCCGCAGACAGACAGACGTCACTTCACTTTTAAAATGTCAAAGTCCACGACGGCCTGCAGGTGCAACATTTACATTTTACTTTTAGTCCGTCATCAGACTCTTTTTCATTGTCGTCGTCTTAATATTTATATATATTGTAACCTAATTAAACATTTTAACATATTTCACATTGATATAAATGAACGTGACCTGCAGCACAAACCTTTTTCTTTTTATTGGATCTGTTGAATCAAAAGAAATGAGGCAACTGAGGTCAAACTGGATTTTAGTTTTTCTTTTTATTCTCATGATTATTTATTGTAAAAACACGTTTGAATCTTGGCCTCCCTTCTTGTGCTGCAGTAACCACTGAAGTCTTAGAGTTTCTGTTCCATGTCAGTGAAGTGCAGCAGCAGAGCAGAAGACACGGTGACATTTATCAAACATCTGAGATTTTTCACTGCTTTTATTTAATATCTGACAAATCACAAYACGATAATTGTTGTGGTGTTTTTGTGTGATTGTGGGTCAAGCTGTATCCAT